CTTTAAGCTCGTGCCACTTTCCTGATACAATCTTAGGAAAAATTTGTGAACATTATTGAACAATTTTTACACAGGATAAAAGTATTAAAACATGAAAAATAATAATTTTTCAGTATCTTTCAGAGCATAGATGAAAAAATAAGAAATCAGAGAGGAGCAAAGAAAAAAGAAGAAATTTAGCGCAAGGTAATTACCTCCCCAAATTGCTAAGCCTTATTCTTGAACTTTGTAATTCTCATCCAAAACTTGTAAAGCAAGCAGTATTTCAAAAATACATCATCAACCAGATATAAGCGAAAATTGAAATATGATTTTTACGCTCGGAAGTAAAGGACCAAGTTTTTAAGAGTGTTATTCTTAATAACTGAGTATTTTGCACAGGATACAAATTAAAAAGGACTGTATTTAGCCTAAATGCAGATGGAGCCACGGTAGGACATAATCTCTGAATACATCGATATCATATCCTCTGTTTCCATCATTTGTAATTTTTAATATCAAGTTTCATCAGTTCTTTCCCAATTTGTGTATCTTACTCATGAACAAGTAGATAAAGAATATTTCGGTTTTTTTTAATTACCGATAGAATGCAGTAGTACTGATAAGGGAGTGACAGCTGTTTGTCAATAACCCTCAGCGAAAGAGATTAGTGTCTTTCTTCCCATGACCTTGAAATGTGATTCAGCAGCGCCACTTTAGGAGAAATCGGATGCTAGTCACCCTCAGGGGTTTAAAAGTTGATTTATGAGGCACTGACAAAGTATGGGAGGACATTTGTGTTTTACTTGTGGTCGATACGAAATTTTAACAACCTAGTTATGTTAACCTGTCAAGTGATGTTATGTCGCTATGAAGTGAACAACTTGAAGAGAAAGTACACCACATATACGATGGAAATGAAGACAATCGTTTGGAAACTATTAGGATTTGGAGAATTAAAATTCAAAAGTTAGGCATCAAGCGATTCATCTCCAAGGGATAAGTGTGAGATGGAAACGATGACACAATTCAACTAGCAGTTCTAGTTCTATCATCACCAGGCCACACTCGGTTTACGGAGTAAGATTTTACAAATTACTCCCAGGCTTGAAGAATTTTCTCAATATGCCAAGAGGCTTATCTTGTATATGTAGAATCATAGTATATTTTTTTTTCAGTTTTTCTGTGGGTTTACTTGTACGATAAATAATAGATTTTTGACCAATGAGAGCTAACATAATATCTCTGTTATATTTTTATAGTAAGTGCAACCAAATTATTAACACCTGTAGACCGACCACGTCGTGCCATGTGCCGCTCAAGCTTACATACATACCTGCTGCTGATAGATGCACTGGTTTACACAGGTTGTTTTGGTTGTTTTTTAATATTGTGGTTTGTAGGGATTAAAAGACTAGGTAAACAGTAATACCACAAAACAGATCGCATTGGCAGAATATCAAAGCAAGCCATGTTTTGGTTTGAAAACACCAAACAATGGGATTTTCAAATCTACTCTACGCCTACGTGTGGTTTATGAGGTATTGTATCGGATTAGGAATATTTTTGCTTTGCGGCAAATTGTTTGTCCCTTCACGGGTAAATTTTGAAAACATTTTTGGTTCTGTGCAGATGAAACTGAATTTATCTAACTTATTTATTAAAATTGAACTTTGTACAGATGAAACTGAATTTAATTAAAAACTTTGTCTTAAAAATTTTGTATAAAAAAACAAGTGATTTTACACTTTTAAAGAACAAGAATTCTTCAAATCGTTGTCAGTGTAATTCGATAACCATTGTTTTTCCTTCAGTCCTGACTAAAAGGATATCTACACATTTCCCTCTTTGGTAAATTGGTCAGAAATTCCACCGATGAGAATTGAAATAAAGTCACTTTTCTTTTCGGATCGTAATTTCCTGACACGATCCATTTAAAGCAACATTCTTAGCTCAAAGAGGTAAATTAAGAAAGATTTGATTTAAGCTGCATTACAATACTGTAAAATACTGTAAAAATAAAACTTTGTGAGATTCAAACGCCCAAACTCCGGAAAATCGGGGGAAAGCGGATGAAAAGGGGCTTTAATGGGATCTTCTTAGTAGCTATGTCACGAAAACTTACTATAGATATATAAGGTACGTTTTCTGCGCGACATGTACATGTCATGCCTGAAGCGATTGGACGTAAAAATAAAATTAGTTATAAGTGTGAAAAGTACCAAAATTGTTACGGCGCACTGTGTCGCTCGAGGATGTACACAAAGAACTTCATTCATGCAATGAATAAAAACGTGAGAGAACAGATGTTACATCAGCTTGTTTATTTTTTTTTCAACCCAAGAGACTAAACTCATTATCTTGTTCTTAAGCTATTTTTAGACTGAATAATGTTTCATAAAAAGAAGAGAAAGATAAGGTTATTTTCGGTAGATCACCCTCATCTCGTGGTTACTGTGATTGACTGCCGTTTCAGTTGTTTTTGAAATTTTTCTCGGTCTTCTATAAATAGTTCCACATGTCTCTGTTTGCTTGTTGTCCTGCTAAGAACATGTTTTGATGCATTTCACGCACATCCTAACAAATGGGAAACTTCTGACTGTTTAAATGCACCATTTAAAATTTTCACCTTTTATAAATACAGTAGCGGGATATTTGGAAGAATTTCCTTAGTTTCCCCATTTTCGCCTTTGGTTATCTTCTTCATTAAAATCTTATTGGTATTTTTTTCTCAAATTTGTTTGTTTTTGTCCAAGAGAATATCAACAGTTAAGAATCTCTTTTTTGTTTTGTTTTTTTGCCTGCCCCGGGCGTCCAACCAGTAAAACGAAAAGCGATAATAGTGGAGAAGTGAATAAACGAGGGAAGTTTGGGTCCAGTCACGTTCTCTACGCGACCAGACCCAAGCTTCCCACGTTTTCGCACTGCTACTACTGTTGCACGGTTTGCTATTAAACTCCGTTTTACTAACTAAAAGCCTGGAATAGGCTATTTTATTGCCTGTTCATGAACAAAATAAGTCTTTTCCAAGTGATGTTTTGATTCAACAAAGCATGCCGAAAAAGTGTTACCATATCTGCATATAATAGACTACTTGAAATCAAAGACCTAAATCTAATGGTTAGAAATACTTTAAAAAATTTAAGAATCCCCTAATCTCTCTTGAGAGAGTCCTTGTCTTGCATTTTATGTGCACAGAACGCTGTAATTTTTATATCAAGGATCTCCGTGGTGCTCAGAAATATAAAAAAAAAATCTCAAGAATCTCCTAATCTCTCTTGAGAGAGCTCTTGTCCTGCTTTTCATGCAGTAATACACAGAACGCTGTAAAGTTTAAATCAAAGATCTCCGTGGTGCTTACATCACATCCCTCCTGTGGGAAGCAACCCAAAAAATATCGGAATTTCCTCGTAGGAGGTTTCCCTTATACGATTCCCCATTAACCCTTAACTCCCGTGAGTGACCAAGATATAATTCCTCCTTACAACATCAACACAGAATCAAGTAGACGAGTGAGGAAAATAAATCAGAAAACTCAATTAGGGGACTACAAGTTGATCTAATACCAATTCTCCTAATTGAAATCATAAGTATTTTATGGCAGACAGTAGAGAGAATTCGTAATGAGAGTTGAGTATTTTTTGCTGCCCTGATTATGTGCACTTATATTTGATTCTACAAAGTTTAGATTTTGGCTGACTGTGAGATGAATCTTATTGAATTCTTGAGTTATTTCAGTGGCCCTTGTGACATTTTGACAGTTGGGATTAACAGCCCACGAAATACCCACACATAAGACGTGTGGTCCTCTGCCTCGACAAAAGGACGAAACATGCCGAAAAAAGAAAAGGAACAAGACTTGGGCTCGGTGAGCTCGGGAAAAAAATCTCGATTTCCTTACTACCAACGATTCTTCTTGATTTTGCTTTGGCTATTTATCGAAATCGGGCCAGCTCTCCGAAAATTCATCATGAAGATTACTTTCGTATTGCATGAGGGCGTCTTCAGTTTTTCCTAAACAGTCCCCTTCTTTCCCACGCGTAAAGTTTTGTGAAACGCACCAAAATAAACCCGTAAAATGAATATAATGTCTCATATTGTCACGGCAAAGTCCCTTCCCGCCAAATGCTTAAATCAAATTTCACAGGCAACGCTTGAGTTGCTCGTGGTGAGGTTAGAAAATGAGAACGATGCTTACCTCCATGGCTGTTTCCTCTTGCGCTGGATGTATGTAGCAAGACATTCGTCGCCCTTTCAGAGATCACACAATTCGCCAATATTTTTCGGCCGCTAGAATACAGAAGTAAAGCCGCATTTTGGACTTCCTTTTCTGCTGTTTTCGTGTAGATATTTGCACAATAAAAGCCCTGGTGTAAGAAAAATTTGTTCAAGCTAACTTTATGTGGCAGAAAAACATTTGTCATCATCGGATTCCGCCATCATCGTCAGTTGAAGGGTAGGCTGATGGCAACAGATAAACTGGTCAAAATGCATGATAGCAGAGTTGTGAAATGAAAGAATGTATTCGCTTCATATTCCTGAAACAAACAGCGCTAATTATCATGCTGCATTGTTACTGTGCTTGAGAGCTCAGATCAAATCATGTTTTTTTAATTTCTTGAGAAGCTTGAAACTATAAAAGCCACTGCAGACAGTCAATTCTTATGAGTTTCGTAGCGTCAGTTAACGGTGATGTCGAATGTCATTCTGATTTTTGTAAGACATCATATATTCGGCGTTTACACCTAATACTTTCAAATATGCTATAGACGACAATGCTAATTACAAATAAACAGCCCCTTTATTTTATTTCATAGTCTGATGTAGTTACATAAGCATGAAGTAACGGGTAGTGCCCTGAAAAGTTATTAGGTCTCGTAATTTATCAAATAATATTACAATACAGCGACGCAAGCTCGGCTCCGTGAGGTCGAATCACTACAAGAAATTGAAACATTAAAGCTAATCTTATCTTCTAAAAAGGTTTACATACTTACATGGTACGATTGATTGAAAAAAATGGAACCGTATCTCATCCATGATTGCGTTGCATTTTCTCGAATCGTTTGCCACTTTCTTGTCCTTCTCATTTGGAAATTCTTTCAACGACGTGTCTTAAGAATTTTTTTTCTCTGACAGTTCACCTAAAGAACTAAGATCTTGTGATTCCTTCGTTTTAATACAATTAATCACTGAAATGTTTTCACATTCCCGTTCATCGGCACTCTTACTCCGAGCTCAACTGTTTCCAGATAAATCGTTTACACCCTTTCACCTTAAAAGAGAATAATTAGTCTCTCACGCCTAAAGCTTAGTCTAAAGTAATGCAACTTCCAGCTATCAGTCAAACTATTATTCCACATTAGCATTAAATGGCGTGAGACCTATGACAATGAAAACACTTCGGAAAGGGAAGGATCTTGATTATACCAACTTTAAAAGTTAAATGTAGTACTACATACATATGATGGTATAAGTAATCGAAGTGTCCAATATCCTGCCCTTTGGAACATGACATAGGAGTCCTGATTCCAGTGTTCTACAAACCTTTATTACCATCCTGGATCATTATACCAAAAAAATTCACCTACTTTTACCTGAAATCCTTGAAGTTTTCCCTTTACCTCATAGCAATAGCTGGCAATTGAAAACGATCGCAGAACTAGAACTAGAAAAATTTTGCATCTGCACGAAAGCAAGCATTTCTGAATTACATCTTCAGCGTAATTACCTTTGATTACAACCACTATTTAGCATGATATGAGCCATAGCCGAGGCATCTCCTCTTGCCTATGATTCACATCGAACTGGGAGACAATCTGCGTTTAGAGTAAATTATAGTGTTGACTAGATTATATATAGAGGAAACGACACTCGAAAAAGGCCAGCAAACGGCTCTCTACACTCCACAAACTCTTAGGACGATGCAAAAGGCGCTTAACACCGGTTGCAACTGGTTGGCGTAGGCTGGCTAGATGAGATCTATTCGTAAAGATCTGATTTTTCAGAAATATTCGCAAGATGGAGTTATTGGCCTTATGTAAAAATCAGGGAAAACTATTCACATTAAGGCTAATTCAAATGTAATTGTTTAGCCTGGCTGATCAATTCTTACATGTGGCGAGCGCCCTCATTGTCTTTGTCACGTCATATCAGTTGTTAGAGAGACAAAAAATGTCTGAAATTATCTGCATTAATGATTTTTCGGCGGGCAAGAAGGTTTAAATACGTTTGAATACGTCTGGCTTGTATCAGCAATAAGAGTTGATTATACCAAGTATAAAAAAACTAAATATGGAAATCCAGGCAAGTAAACCCAAAGAAGAAAAACTCGGTACATGCATAGAGCCTGAGAGCGCTCCCAGATACACTGACACGCTTGGATCAAATACAGGTATTTCTTTGTCTGACTTCGTCTTTGGCTTTGTTGTTGTCAAAGGCAGCGTATGAGTGTTGTTCGCCGCCGCAGTACTGTTCATCGGTGGAGCAGTGGAGTTAGTGGCGTTGACAGAATTGTTCTCAGCAGTTGAAATGAAGGTTGTTGGTTGTGCGAAGGTTGTCTTACTTGTTGTTGACTTCCTACTGCTCACTGGTTTTACTGAGGGGATTTTTAGAATAAGAGGGTTATAACTAAGGTATCGAAGCTAATATAAATGAAAAATATGAGTAGAAGGATAACGAAAAAGGTTAGGGGTCTTTAAACGAGACATCTTAGAGATATGGGGTATCTAAATCACAAAGATGTACGTTAATAAGCAATTACCTATGATCAAGGACAGAGAACAACGAAACTGTATGAAGGGGATTGAGTCATGTTGGCCCCATACCTACAATAAATGGTGTGACTGCACAATGACGTTGAAAATATAATTTTCTTATCAAAAAACGAAGAGCTAAGGCTCCCAATCTCCCGCTCTAGGTCCACCCATGGCAATGACAAAAGTGAAATTTTCTTACCACAGGCAAACAAGACGTTGAGATAAGCAGATGAACTCCTTTGTTTAGAGACGTTCACCCCTTTGCAAGGATCGCCAAATATCTTCTCCAATGCTGTGATCGAACAGTTTTTCTTGTTGTCACATGCGGTCTTCAATATGTTAGTCACCTCTAATAGGTTACACCGCTGACTTGAAACTTCTCCTTTGGTACATATACTAGCCGATGATTCACCAAAGTCAGCACCCTCAATCCGAAGAACTTTAGGTGAGCAGTTCAAGTGCATGACGTCATTTTCGCAGACGTACGTTGAGCGGACAATTCTTCGGTCTATTTCTGCAAGTTAGATTTCAATATCATAAAGATAACAAGATGAATTGGTACTAAACATCGTAAGGGAGAAGGACGAGTTTACTGATTTTTCATGCAACGAAGACTGCTCCTTATTTAGTACTTAAAACTCAGCCATTATAATTATCAAGGGTTTCGGTTTCCAAAGAAACTGTGGTGCTGCGTCAATGGGAGAGAATAAAAGGGTAATTTAGTATTATCAACTGAGTTGTTAACGTAAATTGGCCACCGTTAAGAGTTTCCGATCGGACGTTTCGAGCGTTAGCCCTTCGTCAGAGCTTAATATCATTATCATTAATAAGCATTCCTACAAACTGCTCTGTTTATTGCTTCATTTACTCATTCATTTACAGTTTTCCACTTGTCATTTTGTATGATTATTTGAGTGTTACATGCAATTCCCTATATAAAGCAATGACTTTTAATAGATATAAAAAAAAAATCGACGAAAGGCAATTTCCTTTCATGAGAAAGTTAACAAAATTTTTGTCTTTTAAACAATTGGTTTTTTTTAGTCCTTTTCACAACACACGAAACCTTACTTGTCATGGAGACAAAAGTACTTCGCTAATTCTGTACTTCAGTTGATACAAAATATTTTAGATGGTTCAGCCATACAACTCTACTGAGTTTCCCATGACGTAAGACTTGTAGGGAGACTGTCACAAGAGAAAATCTTAACGAAACAGAATTTCCGTTACACCCTGTTCAGTTTCCTTGATAATTTCCAGAATCGTTTACACAATCTAAACTAGCCAGCTGTAAGCTTTTTTTAATTGGAAATGTCTGTGTACAATTTCTTGTTGGTCCTTTTTTCACACGAAGGAAATTTTCATAAAAAAAATTTATTTTTCAATCTATGCTTTTCGAGGGAGAGCTTGACAAGAAATATTTGCCTTGCGTGCACAGCGTCTTTTTTTTCAGTAAAAATATATGACACTTCCAAAATACGTCTTTGAATGTGGCGTCCACTTAGAGATCTGGCGCGTTCGAGCTTTTCGAACAAGGTGTTAAATCTCTTTTGCGGTTTACACAGATAATTCGCTGTTAAATACTTGTTTTCCTGTCAATAACTTTTTCTTTCATTGCAAGGTGGGAAATATGGCTTCATTGAGAATTTTAGAAAACCTATTCAAAAAATATATTCATTCATAGATACAAAAAATCAGAATAATCTTAGTTTAAAGGAAAACTCCTGTAAACATTAAAAATTGAAAGCAATTAAGTGCTGTTGTCATTTCGTTTGGTAGAAGTTCTCTCACAAATTTACATTCAAATTTTTAAAGAAGACCTCAAAAGGATTAACTTTGTTTATCTCTTTGAAACATTTAAACTAAAGCAACTGGCTTCATATCTTTCGTTTTCTCCGATCCGTTTCGAAAAAAATAATCAGCTGACATTCGAAGTCTGTTACGAATGCGTGCACACCAAAGAGACAAGCGATACAAACATACAAATATTAAAGTTCTTCTTTTCATTTAAATCTTTCGTGAAATATTTTTTTGGGTGATTAGAAGGTAGATAAGTAATATTAAAATAGAACCGTAAGGATTATGTAAATATCATGATTAGAATTTATCTAACGTTTACAAATGAAAAAGCCAATTATCTTTCGAACAGGGTTGAATCTCATGGAATTTTCCTCTTTTCATTCGGTTTTTTGAAGGAAGTATTTTTTATTTGTTAGAATTTCAGCTTTGTTTTCCGGAATAGACTGAAAAAACAACAAGCTACAAATTCGAAGGAATGAACCATACATTTTCGGCCATAAACTTGGTGTAAATATTTATATTTAGTTATCTATATAAGTCACTTTTTCTCTACACAAAATATCTAGAAGCATCATAGATAAGGTACAATTTTCAGCCTCAAAACACGATGTTATCGTCCTAAACAGAAAGTTTCCTAGTAGTCTTAAAACTTCCTTTTTATTTGTTTCGATCTATAGCACTACAAAGGTCCTACCTGCTCTTACTTCGGTAAAGCCGGTGACAGTGGAAGCTAAGGATAACAGGAAAATCCAGCACCGCCCAGCCGACATATTTGAAAGTAAGTGATTATGAACGACTGCCTTTACGAATTCGATGCGTTACACTCCTGTCAACAACTTAAGCTCCAGTGAACCGAGGTTGATAGGAACGATACGACCTGAAGTACGAATGGACGGTAATAACAAAAATGTTACGTTTTTCTGGTCGCTAAATCGTCCAATTAATATCTTATGAATTATATATCAAAATCGGGGCACCCTCGCATGTGTCAACAATTAAACTGGTTTTTGCGTAATCAAAGTTTCGCGTTGTCTCGAACATAAACGGCAGCTTCGATTCACCGAGAATAACTAAAATTCATAACAACTTCAAATTTCTGCGACACTCACCTTAGGTGCGAGCTCGTCATTTCCAGCACATCTGTGAAAACATGTTAACGGAATTTTAAATCAAACAAAATAACTAAATTAAATTGTCTTTCCTTTCTGGCTCATTTATTTCCAAAGCAGCGAGTTGTCTACCTTTTAACGTTATTTATTTACTAAAACATCCTTAAACAGGACTTCAGCCTAGCTTTACAGGTAAGATGTAAAATTTTTTGGGACATCAAATTTCATTTACTAAAGGTTTCAATCAATAATGATCTGCCATAATTGTTCATTCGATTATCACGAAAAAACATGCACAATCTCGGCCAGGAGCATTTAAAAGTTTTTTGTTTACGAAATTTATTGAAATTAACAGTGTTGAGATGTTGCGAGCTAATGCGTGTTTGTTGTTATAAGTAGAGAAGTAGGCGTTAATTTAACGATGAAAACATTGGCTTTCTCCGTAGAGCGCTTTTTGATACAGCAGGTTAACTCACGAAACTACTCATTTATGCGCGGCAAGTCTACAGGGTCAGCCAATGGCCTAAAAGCTTGAATAAATATGTGAATCTCCTTAACTGGATTTAACTATTACCCGTGGAGACCTGCCAAGATGCTGTTTCCTTCGGTTCGTTGAGGTGTTCGTTTCGAGCTTAGCCCATCTTTACGCAAGTCCACTGGAAGTCACCATAATGATTCTACAACTAAATAAAAAGACATTGAACAGTGCTTTATGGTATTGTCTAGACTGACTGACCGTTTTTAGCTCAATCAAGCTTTAGACCAGCCAATTGAAAATCAGCACTCCCCGATTAAGGATGAAACCATCAAACAGCTCATTAAGTAAATGGGCTGTTTTGATATCTTGGTTGTAGAACTTGCAGATCATTCGATCATGATTAGTGCGATACGTACGACTTGAACAACTCTCGTCGACAAACACGTTTAGGTACAAGAGATTTCTTAAGGACTTATCCTCAGATTTTTTGTGACCAAGACTTGGAGAAGGCTTGGATTACTAAATATCATGAATTAACGATACAATTAGCTACATAAGAAAAAAAGCCACGCATTTAAAAGGGTTTGTCTGCTGCCTTAATTGACACGCAAACATTTGGGAAAGGGCTGTATTTTATAACAAAAATCATCTTGTCCAAATTTCGTTTTTCTTGATGAGTACTCCAAAGCTCACTCGAAGTATATTTCCTATTTTCTTGTTTTGCTGTTATGAATGGCGTAGCTTGTCACTCGCTTCATATTTCAGTCATTCATCGCGTTCCACTTGTCACTTTATTTATCAATTATCTTGTTAGTTGTAACTCCCTGAGAAATCATTTTTCGAGGCAAATGAAATTTTAAAAAAATGTCCCCTCTCGTCACTTAGCAATTACTATGATACAAGTGCAATATGGCTCTGAATCATCATGGTGCGCGAGTCACAAAATGGACAGTTCAACATTTACAAAGCTAGGAATTTTTAAGGAACTCGATGAAGGACTCATGAACATAAGAGAAAGCAATCGTAGATTATCTTTGACGCAAGATAAATGACATCAGAGTCTCATTCGAAATTTTGCTAAGATTGTAAGCCAACACTTAACTATAATTTTCAACAAAACTGTCCTTTAGAACACGCTGTATTACTCTTGAAAGTAGTATTTTGATAGAGATATATGATGCTTACAAGGCTTGGGACGAACTCTTTCATTTTGGGAGCTATTGTGCTGACTACCATTGTGTACCCACTAGTGTAGAACGCCCACTCCCGCACGTCCTTGACGTTGAACCAATGACAGCGAGAAGTTAGCAGAGTCTGCTCGAAAGCCGATGGGTGGTCTTGTTAGTGTGCTTTCGTTATAAGGGGAATGTTTTTTTCTGAAAACTGAAAAAAAGATACTGATTTCGACTTTTTTCAAAGTTTTCCTTTTATAATGGTAATATTGCGGCTTAAACAAGACGAGAGAGCATTTTCGAAAGGGCTTTACACAGGAAAGTGATGAAAAAGAATGAGCACGAAAATTAACGGACTGTGGGATTTGTCTCCCTAAAGACAGATGTTGTACATGTTGTCTCTCGTTGCCTCTCTCTTCCACAACATTTCTCCTACCGATCGCGGTCATTGGTTCCTGCTTTAAATTGGTTGTGATTAGCGGACGAAAAGTAAAATAGGAAATGACTGCATAAGCTTTTCGGTCGAAAATTGAATGGCTTAAGCAGATCTGTACTTTTGCAGTCGATTTTAAACGTTATTTTTCGGTTGCGGGAAAAGACTGCGTGTTGTCTTTGCATCCTAAATTCTGGGAAACCATTATTTTTCAACCATCATTTGGTTTCTAGATACAAAAATTTATACACCCTAGAAATTAAACTGGTGCTGCCTTCTTAACCAGTCAGACACAAGATTAAAATTGATTGTTACTTCGATCATACGCGCGTTCCCTCGCTTGTGGCAGTTAACCTATATTAAATATCGATCCCCCTTTAATTAGCTATTTTTGTCACTTTAATGGGAGGATAGAGGTTAAACCACTGACGCGACAAAAGGGTTTGAAGATGAGTACAAAAAATATTCCATTAATTAACCAAATTCTCTCAGAGCTTTTTGAAAAATGAACAAAGAAAATAATAAATCATAAATTCTATCGACTTTCAACAATATTGTTTCCCACGACTTGCGAGTGGGTAGTTGTTGTCTTTTTCGAAAGGGAAGGAGACGGAGAGAGGGAAGGTTAATGGTTGGAGGGGTCAGTTAGAAACTTTCCTCGTATTCCGATTCTTGCCGAACCCAGAGTGTGAGCTGAAAAGGGAAGTTCCTAAATGCAGGATATCTATACCGAAAATTTGCATAGACTATATCCACTCTCAATCTGCAGTTAAATAAATCTCTTAAAAACCGTCAGTTAGAATTTCCTTCGGCCGAGATAGAGTAAGTTTTGATCTCTGAATCTAGTGCAACATCTCTCATGAAATTATAGACTTAACCTTAGACTCTCCAATCTCAGAAACTAAGAGACTTACATAATTTTTTATACTTATAGGCGTTTGAAGTTCATTGTGGTTAGTATGAAAACAAGGCACGTTGATAACAGGATTCCGCTTATAGCCTTGGGAGCTACGAGATTTGATCCATGAATTCAGGCGGTGGTAGCATCCTGTAGAAAAAAAACATCTTTTGATTCCTATAGCTTTCAGCTCGCTTCGATTTCTAACGTCGGTGGAAATGATACATTAACCTCTATTTGGCTGTTAAATATTTTATCGCAACGGCTGAACTCGGCTGAAAATACATTTGCATTTTTATTACACCATTAAGATAGCATTGACAAATGATCATGCGATTTAATATTCAAATTCTACATCGTATTCTTGAGCCGAAAGTGCAATTTACCCGTAATATAATTAATACGAATATTTATCTTAAACTGGTTGTTTCACTGTTCTCGTGAGTTGATGGCCAGCACTTGGTATATTAACTTAAGTTAAGAATAATTTCCCTGGTGTTCTCGAGGCTAATCGATCAGACCGCGCGTGGTTGTATAAAAGACTTTTGACTGTATTTCACAAGAAGAATTCTTTATCTGTGCAAACAACAATTTAAGTTGACTTTTTAGCCATGTTAGGGTGGTAGCTGGAAAGCAAATGTGGAGTACTTCAGTCTTTTAGAAGCTCCAAAAAGTGAATTGTTGTTTTGAATTACACATTTTTCAACGTGAGCTTTTGTTGTTGTTGTTGTTGTTTAGTCTCTTAGCCTCGTAAAGGTACTTGTCAATATTTCACGAGCCACTTGGTGTGCATGCTCTTATTGGATATGTTCTGCTCAATATATTTTAAGCGGAGATTTGTAATATCTCTATAATATCTCTATAACTGAGAGAAGCTGAACTCACTTAACACATTTAACAATAGGATCCACCCAAATCATCTTGCTCGCCTATTTTAGTCAAAGGTAAGAAATTTGAGTAAAGGAGGCAGCTTGGATGACCATCCAGTATTGTTTCAACTTCAGTATTTTTCTAAAAAATCTTCTAAAACTTTTAAATAAAGAGGTAGTTCCCAAACTCTAATTAATTTATTAGGCCTCTTAACAATAGAAAATGTTTATCGACTTTCTGTGGAAAAATTCTTGCATTTAAGCCCTTTTAACAAAGCATTTGACATGTTCCGACATGCTAGTAATATTCATGGCTGCCACACAAGCTAGGCAGCCAGACAGAATCTTTACCAGCCTGAAGTGCGAACTAATGTGGGTAGACAATACATTTCTTTCATGGCAATCGGTATTTGGAATGACCTTCCACCCTCTTCAAAAACGCTAGTGTAGTTTAATTTCCAAGGCAAGTGAAACATTATCTGCTGTCAGAACAAGAGGAAATTAAGCCACTTCCTTTAAAATTATTACAGTTCAACTGACTTTTCTCCTAACTGTTTCTTTTATTTTATCTTTTAATTCTTCTTTATTGTTGTTGATGTTGCTGTTTTATTTACTTTTCCCTTCTTTTCTTGTCTCACTCTCTGCCGCCTGAAACTTAAAATGTACGGGGGAGCTAACAAGAAAACCTCTGTTTCATTCAACTCCCTAATTCACAAAGTAACAAAACTATCTAGATACTAATAAAAACCTTTTTAATCAGTCAACCATAATGTAAAATCAAAACAAATATTAAAATTTTATTCAATTGACTCATGCAAAAAGAGCGTTGTCTTGTCGTGTCTTTCCGAACGAATCATTTAAACGTCAGCATCTGAATTTATTCCGTTTCCAACTTGCGACCGACATAATCAATATTTTTATTTCTATTTCTTTCAGGAGTAATTATTCATTAATTTATCAGTTGATATCAAAGGATGGATGAAGGCTGATTTATTCTCTTGACCATCCTGCAATATAGCAATATTTTCGTTAACTGACATGTGGCTAAAAATGCAGAGCCACGCCTTACTACTCTTATCGACATGTAAACCAAAAGACCTATGAAAGACCCAGGAGTGCAATCGAATCTTAAAGGACAATAAAATCACTTACAACTGCATGACACTTTTTCTCTTGGAAATTCCTATTGTTTTAAAAATCTGTAGCCTTTTGTTCAGAGATGGATAACGCTATCCACTGGATGAATCTCTATCCAATGGATAGCGCAGTATGTTTGTTGGGTCAATATCCACTGGATTGTAACTTATCCGTTGGATTGCGTTATCTACCCTCTCAACAACTGGGCTCTGGAGTTTAAGCGATTACGACCACGGCTCAAGAAATGATGTCTGTCAGAAGGTAATATTCAACCTTTTCTTAAGATCAGAATTATCTTGGATTGATTAATTATATATTAGAAATAAGTAATACACGATACACGAAGAATTGTTTTTAACGTAGTCACCAAACAGACAATAAAGGAGCGCCAAATGTTTGGTTGACTTAATATCCCCATTTGTTGGTCGTCAGGCTTGTTCGTGTTTAATTGTCGTTTGCTTAGAGTTCCAAGTGTAGAATTCAGCGGTTGCTTGGCGACTTGATAATTACAGAGGTTGAAAATGAAAATTTACAACAAACAGCAAGGCTGTCATTACATGAGAGATCTGATTGCCGTATCCAGTATTATATATGACAAAGCCATAACCAGCGGAGTCGTCTTCTTCATCATTGTCGTCAGGATACTTCGGGCTCATCTCAGTCGTCGTGGACTGAGTTGCGTAGTTAAAGGGTGCAGAGGGTGAGGAAGGTTTTGTCAATACCGTTGTAGACTTGTTTTCGGCGAACGCAGTAGAGGGTACGGTCGTAGGTGGTGTAAGTGATACTTTCTCTACTAAAAATTTCAAGTAAAAAAGAAATGTTACATCTCTGACCCTTCACCGGCTCATCATTATTCTGTAATGCCAGAATTTCTTCCATAATCTCAAAGAACAGATCAAATAGACGCAAGATAGGATGTAACGCAAATCATGATATTTTGGAGATTTATCATGGAAATTTATTACTTACCGCAGCCATACCTGACATTCAGATCCTTATGGACCGACATGCCCGGACACTTGTCTCCCATGGTACTCGTATCTACTGTGAAATTACACTTTGTGCGTCCTTCACAACGCCCTTTTACAAAATCTTCCCTATCATCTGGGGCGCAATATTCAGCAGTGTTGACATAATCCATCCTTCTCCCTATGCAAATTTTTTTTTTATCTTTTTTCTCTCGCCCGTATCTTGCCTGGATGATATTAAGCACCTTTGAGGCCGTGCAACTTAAATACATCGAGTCGTCCTGGCAGATGTGTTCAATTTTGATGTCCCTATATGAATTCGTATATGGCAGTCCTAAACAGAGATGAATTAAAACTTTAAAAAAAATAAAAAGCCCCCTGAGCAAGAAAAATTTCAAAGAAATGAATAAGTGAATACATACATGAACGAATAATAAATGTATGGACGAGTGAATGAATGAGTGCTTGAGCGAGTGACCAAATGAATTAATGAAGCCACAAATGGATGGATACTTTCCTTTCAAAGCCTTGGCCTTACATTACATAAATTTACGTATAGATTTGCAATTATTTAAAATATTATTCAGGAACGCCACCATTTTGATTTTTTCTTAATCTATTAAAAGCAAAAGTAAGATTTACAAGTAATGTCTACGGTTCTAACTTGAACTGTCTCACCCTTAAAAACTGATCGGTATTTTATTGTGATAATTCATTACTTACCACACAAATACACGACTTTCAGATACTTAAGGGTCAACATGCCGGGACAATTGTCTCCCATTGTACTCGTATCTACTGTGACATTGCACGCCGTTTTTCCTTTGCAACGCTCACTTATCAAACTTTTTTTATCATCAGGAGCACAATATTCAGATTTCCTTGTGCAATTGTCCCTTTTCGTTTGATGGTAAGTTGCACTATAGATCTTCAGCACCTTAGGGGCTGGGCAATATAGGTTCATCGTGTCATCCTGGCAACTGCGTTTGGTTTTGAAGGCGCTCACTTGATACAGCGCACCTAAAAGGAGATAAATTATAACGTTAACAAAACAAAGCTCACTGAGCGAATTATATTTCAAGGAAACAGATAAATGAATGCATGCATGAATAAATAATAGTTGTAAAGACAAGTGAACGAATAAATGAAAAAAAAAATGAAAGAATGAATGGATAGATGAGTGAAATAGGTGAGTGCTTGCGCGAGTGAGTAAGCGAATTAGTTAGTGAATGAGTGACTGGTAAATGAAGCCACGAATGGATGGATACTTTCGTTTCAACACCTGGGCTTTATATTGCATATATTAAGAGGAAAAGAAATGAAAAAAAAACGTGAAACATGTTGATTCTTGCTGTGTTCAGCAAGAAGTTTAAATAATTTTTCTACTTGTTATACTTTGTGCTGTCTCACCCCAAACAATTGATTAAATTTTCATCGTAGCGACCGAGAATTGATCCGCATAAAATGTTTTCATAACATCGCAAAAGGAGGTAATAATAACAGTTTTTCGTTCCCTGATTTTGGTTTTATTAAGGTTCCGCAGTTTTGACCCATTCAAAAGGGGTTTAATGAATTAAAAATGAGAATTTAAAAGCGGCTTACCACTCTCCAACTAAAAGTGGAAACATCCATCTTAGTATCAATAATTGTTTTTAATAGAGTCGATGATTTCTATTTGCGGTTTCTCTTCTTAGTCAAAACATCATAATTATCTTAACTTCAACTTCAGGGGAAAAAGGCATTCTAGAAAGAACTACGTAAGAAAAGTCAAGATAAATTAAAATTCGTCTTTAATAGGATTGATAAGGTTTATTTTATTTTTTTAAAGTACATTGTTAATTATTTGCTTGAAATATTCCAATTTTAGTAATATTTCAAAAAGCAAAATAGTAATAAAAAAACCGTTTATGTTGACAGTTACACAAATTGACTGCGGGAAGTGAGAGAATTTCTAGGATTTGGCTAAACTCGATTTTGCTTCATAATGGCGAAACAACTGAAGACGAACTGTATCTCCTATATATTTCTGTAGAAAATATGATTTTCACCATAAGGTGTCAAAAGGAACCTTCAACAGATAAGAATTGTATCAGGGCTTCTATCATCGTTTTGAAAAAATAGCCAATAGCCTGTTTTAACAGCAAGATAACAAAAAAGTCTGTAATGGCATTTCGCCTCTTTAAGAGGAATATCCTAAATTCATTAAACGAACCTTAATGATGAAATGGTTTGTCTAAAAAACTTATTTTTTCAAGTAGACTTATGCATGAATAAAATTTCAAAGAGAATCTTAAATTAAAGAATGGAACCAGCTTTCTCATTCCCGAGTTTACAAACGCTGAACCCTTTCTTCAAACTTAGGCCCGTAAATAGAAAATTAATTACATTTTTGGAAAGGTGTCGAGAAATTGTCGTTGTTACAAATACCAAACTGTCTAAGAATTTAAATCAAACAAAACCCATTTGTTTGTAATTCCGGTATCTCGCGAAGAGTCAGAAGCATCTAAGATATACCTTAGGCTACTCACCATTATTGAGAAACGACAATTCCTCGAGGGAAGCAAGCAAAAGGAATCCTTGAAGCAGAAGATAATAATTGTGATACATCGCTCCTAGTGCGAGTAAATTGACCGTACCACTTAATTTCCTCTGGCGAGTACCGCTGGTGAAATTCTCTTTTAAGTATTGTCGCAACAGGGTCTGGGCTAAACTGCTCTATCTCGTTGAAATCGCCTTAATGAAAAGTGTGCGTCGATTTGCACCTCTCCTCCAATGATTTTCCCCCACCTTTAGTGATTAACACTCATTTGGAACACTGTGTGTGTTTATCAATAATAAATAGCAATCAGATATGGGGTGCAATTTTTTTAAAAAAAACTTGATCTTTAAACGAATTTACTGTTGACATCGAACATTTGTTCGCGGTCATTTCAATCGTTCTTATTGTCTCGTCTCCCACAACCAGCGACTTCTTAATCACTCTCTGAATCACCCTCAAAATTTTCACCAAAACACTTGCACCTTATAAATTTGTTAACGATGTTAAGATTATGTATTTTTGAGATTATATCATACATTTGAGGAAAGCTTTCACAGCTTTACCTCAATAAGTGTTTTTTTTTTTTTAAATTAGATCAAGATTAAGTGCATTTCGGAAAATATTTTCTTCTTAAGCTAAGCTGCGTCTTAGTTATCACTATGAGTTTTAACACTAAAAGTTTCAGTGTGATTAATGAAATCTTATCAACCGCTTTTGAATGGTAGTCTTAAAAGAGAAATGAGTAAGTATATGTGAAACTTGCGAGAATTCTGAAGAATATCCTGTTAAAATTTTAATTTTGAAAAGTTCAAATTTTAAGTACGTCCCGAACGTATACCCGTGCGACGCATAATAGAGAGAATTTCCCACACATAGCGAATATTTCGATTAGTGTTATCTATAATTTGTTTTGCGGTTCTTCGTGGAAAATGTCCATAAATGTATCGCGCACATGAAACGTCTTCTTTTTCAACTACTTCAGTTATTTTAAGTTACCGATGGTTCTTTGAGTGACTGTCTTTTTCTCGCAATTTTGGAGAATTCGATTTAATGGAGAACACTAACGAAAATTATAAAAACTGGGGAAAAGCAATATGATCCGGATCCTCATAAAAGATGACTCGGATCGTGGTGCATTGGCGAAATCAATGAATTAAACACAAAAAAAACGATTCATCGGTTCCGAAATTTGATGCACGATGATCCCTGCGATCTTGGACCACTGATCCTAATCTCTATCTTCCAAAGAGAAGGCATCCCCAAGATCTGTAGGTGACTGATTACATTCAATCAAGAGTAATTAATAAATAGACAATTTCAGACGGTCTACCTTCACATCATGTGGACATTATAGGTAAGTTTACACAAAGAAAGCATTTGCATAGCCCTGAAGCTCACCTTCCGCAGCTTACTAGGAGCATTGGTGTTCCTCCATTGCAGTCTACCAAGCCCGGAAATTTGTCAGGTTTCCCTAATAATCGGCTGTTACTTACTAATAATCTTTTATGGAAAATGCGCCAGAAAATAAAGTGTTCAACACTCGAAGAGAAATTCCAAATCTTCAAGCAACCATCTATTAAATTGTTTATCATATAAGCACAATAGCCCAATAGACAAGAAAAGTCGACTTTATCAACGAAAGAAAATAAAAGGATCGACAATCCCCGAATAAAAATTGTAAAATGCGTTGGCGCTAATGCTCAAGATAAAAGATAAAAAAAAATTCGTTGAATCTCTACAAAAATAAGAATGAGCGTAATTTTCAAAATACAAAATTCTCAGTTATTGACTTTGTCCTTACTGACAGAAGAAATCTTTTAGGTACGCAGCCAAAAGTGGCTTGTGGCAAATCTTGAAGTTGTTGATTTTCGTTCTCAGCCGCGAGAAATGCCATTACCAAGGCCACTGAATACGTATTTTTCCGTTTTTGCTTTCGTATTTTAGTTTTCTTCCCCTTCTAGGAAACTTTGAACGTCGCTGTCTGTAAACCGTACGAATATTTCGGCCATTATCCGAGAAAATTCAGACAAATAACCATGGATTGAGAGGTGAAGGCTTTGCTGTTCTTTCATCAACCTGACTGAGTGGCGCGAAAGGCGAGTGACGAGTCAGCAGCTGATTGGCGATATCAAACACACGTGTAAAAATATCGTATTTTTCATGTGTGTTGTTACGGCTCTTCTCAGGGCTGGGAATCCTTGTAGAACACCATAGTTTATATGGTAAACGTAATTGTAGATCGAGCTACTGTTGAGTTTATTTGATGTAGAGAAATTTTCCGTTTTCCCGAGTTGGCTACGAGACACATATCCTGATAACAGTCTAACGTTTCGACTCTTTCAACATGACACATGGTAGATGGAAAAAAATTATGGTTATGTGTTTTTTTTTTACGGCAAATGATTTAAAATTTGTCAATTTTTTATGCCTAACGGCTGCATTTTTTCCCGCCGTTTTACGGCTAATGGCTAACATTAGATAACAAGTTGTGTAGCCGTCATTATCACTGAAATAGGTCCGTGTCTTCCACATATTGATTTTTTTATTTCGGCATTTCTTTTGCTTTTAGTTTTACCGCAGGCAACTACCACTCTTCTTAAAACTTTTAGGGTTTTCCACAATCATCAAGTAGAAAGCGCTTCCCCATTTCTTTGTGCTTGTTCGAGTGACCTGCTCCTGAGATGCATCTGAGCACGCCCGAAGCCATTTTGTTCTCTTTAAATGGTTGTGGTGCACTATCCACTTATACCAGCGCTACTTCTCGATTACTTCGTTTTTCTTCCAAGCTGTATCTCCTTCGTGCTTTCTGTTTGTTGTAAATAGGTTAGTCGCACTCGTGGCTGAGTTATACATCCCACTAGGTGCTTTTATCAGCCATATGCCTCACTACAAAGTGTAAGATCGTAGCTAAGAATAGTCAGCTAACTTAGAGTAAATGAAATGACAAACACTACTGAGTTACCATGAAATTGATCAATTTCTACGCCTAGGAGAATAACCCATCTCGGGTGAAGAAGCAATTTGGTGGATGGATGCAGAAGTGTGGGAGTTAATCAGGTGTCGTTTATTCTCTTTTAAAAGTGTTACTTCTGCGATTTTTTGTTTTTGTTTTCTTGTAAATGCACCCTTTTTAGAATGTGATAGAGAATGGTAAGTCGTAGCTGAAGAATGAATAAGAAACCGCGATGAGAATTTTCCAAACTTCGGGACTGGTTGCAGACTTTCATTAAAAAAAAGATCCTTTTCCGAAAAGGTTATCGCGGTTCACACTCAGCGCAAGATTTCTGTAATCAAGGCGATCGCTCAGGGACTGGATAAGTATCTTACATGAAAACGTTAATGCAATTAAAAAGATGCATGGACTGTGTCTAAAAACTCTTTCAGTTGCGTACATGGATTTCTCACTTAAAATCTCTCCTTTTCCT